AATTGCTTTCAATTTCAGTCATCCTTTTTCCTCCTAATTTACTAATCAAATATATAAACGAGTGAAAAGAAATAGAAAGCTATAAACTTCCGATTCTTAATCAACAAATTATCGACCATTTTTAACGGTTTCATTTGTAAGCTTTTTCAGTTGAATGAAGCATTCAACAAAAAGAAATTGCTATTTTCCAATTTATATTTCAAAAAAAAAAAAAAAAAATTTGCCAATAATAAATTTGAAATTGTTCATTATAAAGGACTAAATTAATGTTTTCTAATATAAAACTGAAAATAATACTTCACAAAAGAAAATTAAAATTAAAAAAACAAACCAATCAAATATATTAAAATTATATAATCAATAAACTGTAATAAGACTAAAACAAATTGTCTTTTGTTATTTTGTAAATGCAACTTAAGTATATTTATGTAGTGCAAGTAAGTGATAAAAAGTAACATAAATTTCAGACTAATAAATTAAAGAGCAAAAGAAAAGAAAAAAAAAACCACTGAAGATTTGTCGGAAAAAAAATTATACTATGATAGATGTTTGAACTGATAGTTCACGTCACAAAAAAGGATTGTGTGTCACATTTTTAAATGCTTTAGTAAATGCGACATTGAAATGTAAAGTGATGATAAACAATTTTTTGATGAAAAGGAATTACTCCGTGCTGAATCTGTCTAATAACTTAATGTTAAGAAAAAAGAAGAAAGAAAATAAAAAGTAACAAATATAAGGGAAAAGTGCTCTTTTCACTTCATTTCATTCTTTTTTTTTTATTTTCTTTTGGTTAATATCAGAAAGTGATAAATGCGCATTCCACAATTTCTATCTTAGCGCTTTGAAAAAATGATATCAATAGAAAAAGAAATTAGGTTGAAAAGATTCCAATATAGTCTGTTCAATATTTTATCATTTTTATTGAAGTGAAGGAGTGTTCAAATATGTAATTAAATCTAAAGCATTTCCAAAAAAAAAAGAGAAGAGAAAAAGATAATCAAAAAGTGACTTTTGAAATTCAAATTTTTTTCAAAATTTTCAATGTCAATTTATTTTTTATTTCCAAGAAGATATTTGAGCTAAAATAAATTGGCAATTTTATTATGTATATCAAAATGATAAACTCAAAATGCTTCACAATGAATAACGAAATACAAAATTTTATAATCATAAAAGTAAAAAAAAAAGAACCTTAGATATGATAAGATATTCGTATTATAATATAATATAAATCATATAAAAACTGAATAAACGCTCAGTAATTAAACAGTGAAATTTTATGCATAACAAAGTATTTGCGCTAAATTAAGTTAAAATTAAAAAACAAAAAAAAAAATTTATAATTTACTACAATTACATATTTAATCAATGTTAATCATTAGTATACATTTTATTAATGAACACTTTGTTTTAGTTTATTTATCTAAAAATTTTATAAAGCCATTATATCCATAAATTTTTTACAAAAAATGAAAAAAAAGAAAGATATGCTAAGGAGCTATGAATAAATTTTAACTGAGCTAAAAAAAAAAAGGATTATATTTTAAGAGTGACAAATTGTATGAACAAACAATAATTTTGAATGTTTATTCTATTTCAAAATCTAACTCCATTCCAAATGATAATAATAAAATGATGATCGATTATTTCGTTTTCTTCATTTTTATAACATAAAATAAACACTGATAAATGTATGAACAATAATCTTAAAAGCTTATTCTATTTTAATTGTAAACTATGATAATAAATTCATGAATTATTCCTTTTCTCCAACAGATATTTTACATATTTCTTTTCCCTTCTTAAATTGTTTTTTTTTTTTTATTTTCATAACAAATATTTTATAGAGGAAATAAAAGTCCTAAAGACCTATTTTATTTCAAAGTCTTATTTCATATCAAAGTATAATATTAAAAATCGTGATGATTTATTCCTTTTCTCCATTTTTATAATAAATATTTTATATCGTTACCAGAAAATGAAAAGAAAGAAAGAGAGATCCAATATCTATTGATGAATTAATTAATCATTGAAAAATATTCCAAGAAATTTCAAATATTTTAATTTCTATCACACTAGCACTTCCATTTATTTTTTTTTCTCTTTCCTGCTTTCATCCCATCATTTTTTCATAAATCATAGAAATTTTGTTTTCTTAAAAAAAAAAGGAGAAAAAAGCGATTAAAATTCTGAAATGTGATACCTATCAGTTAGTTTTGTATAGTCATCTCTCAACTTCAATTACTTATTTGATAAAAAAAATTTGCTAAAAAAAAAAAAAAGAATTTGTCATTTAGACATAAATTATGTCAAACATTAAAAAAGAAAGAAGAATTCTTAAAGCTAAGATATTTAGTAATTAAGCATATCTTTATTGTATTTTTTCGTTTTTGTTCTTATATGGTTCAACTTATTAAAATTTGTTGAAATGTTCATTCATTTGATTTCAAACTTTTTCAATCATTATGAAATTTTGAATAATTAAAATGGTGTATGGTAAGAATTGGAAGAAAAGTTGTAATTTATGTAGCTTTTAGATAATCCTCAAGGGATATTGAATGAAATATTTCAACGAAACTATTTATTGTCAAACAATTTAATTCCTTAATTTAGTATTTAAGAAAAAAAGCTAATACTAATAGCTAAAATTATACTAAGCTAATCAGAATTTAAAAAAAAAAAAATTAGTTTTTAAACCTTTAACAATTTACATTTTTTGTTAAAAATTTATATTTTTTTTAAAAATAAAATAAAATAAAATGATTAATAATTATTTGAAGGAAATCATACAAACTTTGAAAAAGGCAGAACAAATTAGCCGACAAACAAATATTCGAAGTCATTCAAAGCTATGCATAAGTTTCAAATGATGGACATAAAGGTGACAGGAAAACAACAAATGTCCAATTCAAAATTTATTAACTGTCTCTTTGATGAATAAGATGGAATTGTCAACAACTATTTCATTCAATTGTTAATAATAATCCACCTGCTATCATCTTACTCAAATGGCTACTTTTATATAATATAGTTGAGAGAGAGGGAGAGAGAGAGAGACAGGAAGGAAGGGAATCAATAAGAGCTATAAATTTAGAGCGCAAAAAAACTATTATAATCAACGAAAGCAATATTCAGTACATTAAAAACAAACTATTCAATTTTAATAAATGAATTTAAAATTTGAAATTATTTTGTCCTATATGTTTTTGCCTTCTTTTCTTTTGGTTAATATTAAAAATTCAATGGTTTGCATAAAATGCCTTTCAATATGTCAAACAAATATATTAAAGTGTAATTTTAATATTAAAAAATTAATAATTTCACACGAATTTATTTATTTTTAATATAAATTATACAAACTTCTTCATATATATATATATATCATAGATATCCACGAATTAAAAAAAGTGATATTATCATTGATTTTAGTTAATGATTGAGAAATTTGAAAGTTAATAGATTGAAAATGATTTTTACAAATACATTTTCACCTCCTTTTTTTGAAAATAGCACAATCATAATTAGCAAGCAAATATCATATTTTGCATAATTTATTTCTAATGACGTAACATTTATTAAAAGTATCACTTATTATGCAATTAAAAAAAAATTTCGATCCACGAAGAAAATGTAATGATAATAAGATTTAACATAAAAATAATCATTGTTATTTCTAACTTTTTGATGATAATAAAAACTTAAGAATAGCATGCAAAGTTATTTTAGCAACAATTAGCCTAAAGCAGTTATGAATTCATAATTTAACTTTCTAAAAGAGTCTAACAATATATGAGTTCTCTAATTAACGAAAGATTATATCTTATCGAATTAGAATAATTTTTAATTCAAATTGGAAATGGAATTAACGAGCCATAAAAAATGATATGAATGTTTTAACTTTTTACTTCATTTATCGTATTTGTTGCAGCATTTTCTATTAATTATTATCATTTCAAAATAAATTTTGTTTACTTTGTATTTAATTTCAGCTGTTTTTTTCAAAAAATTTATTTGCATACAATTCATTATATTTGTTGCTTTGTTCGTTGTATAAATTTTCAAATTATTTCTTTATTGCACCAAGTTTTTTTCTCAAAAGAGACTAAAAAATTGAATAAAAATTAGGGCTTTCACAAAAATTTCAAATTTCAAAAAAAAAAAAAAAATTTAATCAGAAGAAGGGAAAAAGGAAAACTCTCTGTAATGCATAAAATGAAAACATTTAGAAGGTTAGAGTGAAATTTTATCAATATCAAGTTTAGTAGAAATATTCAATGAAAAAAACAAATTCTATCGCAATTCACGTGACAAAACGTTTCATTGACAATTTTTTAATTCATTAAATTACAAAAAAAAAAAAAAAGGAAAAATTGTTCTAAATCTGTCTATAAGTTTTATCATAAATTTATAATTTCATTTTTTTTAGACCAAAAATTTTTTCTGTTTACATTGATAAAATGGCAGAAATATGATTACTACAAGCAGACGGACACACACGCACACGGACGCACGCACACGTCATAATTTACATTGAAAAGATCTTTATCAAATAGCAAGAAAAGAAAAAAATCAAAAATTAAAAATTGAGCGTAACATGACGAAATGGACCAAAATTAGCTATCAAACAAAAATTTGACCTTTGAACTGCATCGCTAAAAGTAATTATTTAAACTGTAAATCACCTTAGAAATACTATTCCTAGGTATTCATTAAGCTAGAATATTAACAAAGCAATAACATTTTTGACATATTAACGGGATGTGATAATTTTCCAATTAAATCGCTATTTTTGGGATACAGCTAGAGTACTGTAATTTTTGAACTTACGACTAACAATTATTAAAATTAATTGAAGTCAAAGATAAGCTAAATCTTCTAGAATTTAACACTTCAATATTCTAAAATCCTATCTGTATATAATATTTTATAATTTAACATTTTCGAAACAATTTTATGATAAGACAAAGATCACTAAACTCTAACAACTTTTCATTTACTTATTCACCCTTCAAACTGGACATCATCAATTGCGAACTACAAGATTGATCCACTGATGACCTTTGCTTTTGCTTTTTGTCTTTCATTCGTCGATTCTAAAAATTCAAAAATAATTGAAATGCACATTAAAAACTCATAAAAAGTAATAATAAAATTAGACCAAAGATTTTAAAAAACTAATCAGTGCTCTTATCCAAAACTAATCACTATTTTCATTATGAAGCTTTTTTTTAAAAATAAGTCTAAGATGTGATATGATTTTGAATATTCTCTTATTTAACAGTACCATAACATACATCCTTTTATCGATCAATAAATCATTTTGACAGCCCAAAAATATTTGTAAAAATTTAGGTGATAGAAGAAATGGAAAATTGAAAAGTTTTTACCTGAAACCAAATTTTGACTTGCCTCTCGGATAGGTACAAATTTTTGGCTAATTCGTATCGTTTTTGTTTGCTAACATAAGTATTGTAAAGAAATTCTTTCTCGAGTTCCAAAGTTTGATATTTGGTGTACGGCTTCCTTTTTTTCCTCGACGATATATTTCCTGTCCAATCTAATGTTGCATCTATAAAATACTAGAATTTCTTATCAAATTCGTAAAATTATTTTATAACATACGAAATGATCTGTTCATCAATAATTTCTTTACCATATGAACCTAAATTGAATATTTTAAAATTTTCAGAAAAAAAGAATTAAAATTGATATTTCATATTAGATGCTAAAGGATATTTTATTTCAAAAAATTATCGTAATTAAATATCCAAACTTTCAACATTTAAAAAACAAATGTAGTAGTGGAAATGGAAAAATTTTTATTTTGAAAATCTTATTTTACTTTAATTAAACCAAAATTATTTCAAAATTTCATAGTGAATACACTATGAAATTTTGATGGCATATGCAGCAAAAAGTTATGATACAGTGAGATTGTACCAATCGTATCCATTTTATCAATAATTGCTAGATTTACAGCATAGGTCAATCTCAAGAACCCACTCATTAACCAAATCCTAATTGCTCCAATTTTATCGTTCGCTGTTTAACCTTTTGCTGGAACTTGAATACATTCATTGCAATGCCAAATGTATTGCAAACAATTATTATTTTTACTATTTATTAAATATATTAATAAGTGGAATTGTAGAAGAAAGAGAAAGAGAAAAAAAAGGTAACATCGATGATAAGTTTAGAAATTTAAATAAAATAATCTGTTTAATTTTAAAAGCTTTCATTGTTTCTTATGTTGTTGATAAAATAGCTTTTTCAAACATTCAAAAAAAATTAGTCCCATGTGATTTTAATTAAACATTTTTCCTTTTTTTTTTTTTTTTTTTTGTTTGAAAGACTTTCATTTTTTTTTAAATAACTTTTTTTTTTCACTTTAATTTTTTTTACTATTTTTAAGATAATTTATTTTCATCTTTCATCATCTTTCCTACTTTAACCAATTCAAATCTCATTAATTTGCTAGCAATATTATTTAGCAAAAGCAATTTGTATAAGTGATACTGGGACAGCTAATTTGTCAACAATTTTGTAAACGATCATAAAAAGCTAAGCAACAGATGGATGCTACAATTGAACCTAAATGTAAGAGTTGTTGAAGAAGTAAATTGGAATGAAATAAATGGATAGCGTTTATATTGTTGCAACATTGAATATACCACAAACTACCGTATCCCTCACATCTCAATTCATCTTTTTTTTTTTTTTAACTCTCTCACTAAACTATCTCAAATTGGTAGTAATAATTCAATCTAAAGTATTAATTTTCCTAGATAATAGAATTCTTTAAGTATATAAAAATTTTGTTTATTATTTTTTGATATGTTTTTATTATCCAACTTTGATCGTCTTTTTTCGTTATTTTTTAATCTGATTAAAGAATCTTTTCATCACTAGCACTTCTATTGATACAAAAGCTACAGCAATATTCTATTATTGTTTCGATTTTATCGATTTTAGGCGAATTAAATTTTCTAAAAACATATAGGATAATTTCAGTAAAAAAAGAAAATAAAAAGAAACAAGCGGAAAATCTTTGTAAACAAACATGTAAAGATCGAATATGGTAAAATAATAATTATTCAAAAAAGTTTCTTCAATTTTTCTAATACTTCCATTGCTTTATTATTTCGTTTTATTTATTTAGCTGTTTGAGCTTTACTATTTTATAACGATGTAATTAGAATTATCGTTCATTCGTAATTTAATTAAATAAGTTTCTTTTCAAACTAGAAATGAATGAATTTTGCCAGTTAAATAAATCAACTTTCATTATTTTCTGCAGAAAAAAACTAAATAAATTTAATTTCTCAACCGAAAGATAATTCAACTTCTTTAACGAAAGAATTTATTAGTTATCATTTATATGAAATAGTTAAATTATAAAAGTCCCAGTTTTTGCAGAATGTCATTGATCCATAATGTTTTTTTTTAGTCGTATTTGTTATGCTAATCTTAGTTTTATGATAATTCTACTTCACGTATATACTAGCTGAAAAATTGAAAATAACTTATTTAGTTGTTTGCTGAGCAAATAAAAATTGCTATGCAAATAATTTCCTTAAGTAAACAATAATTTGAATGGTACTATGAAAGACTACAGTATTCCAATCTTTAAAGCATAGAGAGGAGCAAACATATTTGTTCGAAAGAGGAAAATATGAAGCTCAGGGAGGCTTTGAAAATGAAAGAAAGAAGGAAATATGCTGATGGTATGTGCTACAGTAATTTTGGTTGATCGTTGCAGAAATCTGATTATTTGCGAAATAGATGAAAAATGTGATATGTCTTTTTGTATGGTATAATCCGATATAGAATCCCGAACAGTTGAGCTAGAAGATAGCAAAGGAAATGATATTTATCAAATGAGGACATCTGCAAACTGATTGGTAATAAAAAGGGACAAAGTGAACGGTGAGAGAAAATGTTTCTTGATGAATCGATCGAAATGTAATCGGAAATTTTCAAAATTTCAATAAAAAAAAAATAATTTAAGTGAAAAATTCTTCTAATTATAATGTCAAAAATTTATTTGATTTTTACTTATTTCTTTGAGATAAGCAAAATATTATAAAAGAAAATCGTGTTAATTACAATTAGTATATATTCTCCAGAAGAATATATCAGGTTTATTGATTGTTTTTTTTTTTTTAAAATCTAAATCAATTGACAGTTAATAAAGCTTAAATAAAAAAAAATTTTTGAAATTTATGGGTGAAATTTAAAATTTAGAAAGGAGGTAATCGAAATTGAAAAAAAAAAATCAATTGGTATGTATTTATTACAGTTGAAGTTGAATGATGATGATATTTACTACAGATGTGTAATAAACTTGTTCCAATAATCAGAGCATGGTGTCGGTGTTACGCAAAGAAGCTTTATCAGACAGAAGTATCTTTGACAAATGATAGATTAGACTTTTATTCTTTCACCTGTGCGACCAAAAAAAAAAAAAAAGCAACAATCCATATCCTTTTACCTTTTACTCCTATTAACTACTGTACACAAAATGACAAGCGGCACACTTTCCGTAACATCGAAATGATCTATGGATGGAAAGTTATAATTAGAATTATCTCTTTAAAGTGAATATCTCTTACTTTTAAAGATTGATATCTGAAGTAAGTTTGTATGGAGCAGATTAGTGATGGATAATTGAACTGTACTGATAATACTTCTCTTGATATATTACCGCCTGTTACAACAATTTATGTAAGCAAGCAATTCATATCTTTATTTGCTTATTCATCATCTAATACTTTGAAGAATATTTGATATATGTAAGATGAAAGAAGTAAACAACAGAACAACAAAATATCAAACTGAAACTATTATCTTACAAAATTTTCAATGGAAAAAAAAAATTATCTTTAGAAATAAACCATTAAAAAGTAAACACATTAGTGAGAAAATTTTGATAAATTAAAAAAATTTATTTAAAGTCAAAATATCACTCTATCTTATCATCCTACCATTTATAAATATCACATCTGATATTTCGAATAAAATATCAGTGATACCATTTCTCTATTTCTGGAAAAACATTCTTTGTAATCAATTTCAAATTCGTCAAGTTTCTCCCTCAAATATGATAACTATATCTAAATTTATGAACCTGTAAGATACCTTTTCTCAGGACACGATTAGATATCATCAAAAGCCTATGCCGCAATATCGTTTCTGTTTCTGGAGATGGAAAAAAAAGGCCAATTTTTACGGCCATAAAAAATGTTTTGTTGTCTGATTCGAGGCTAAATAATGACGGCGGCATTTTTATGTTTATTTTACCAGGTCTAGAAAAGAAAGATTACAAGTGATTCTTAGAAATATGCATCTAAAGACAATTTAGGAAAGATCCAATCTATCATAGACATATAAAATTTGATAGAAAAAGAAATTAAAAAATAATTGTCAAAAATTTAAGTGAAATATTTAAATTCTGAAAAAAAGGATATGCTGGAAGAATTCAAGATAAAATACAATTGAAGTTAAAATTGCAAACTTGCTCCTCTGTCCTCGAATGTTTGGTTCAATTCAAACGTTTTGTCAATTGTTAAAAGAAATGTGAGAAGAGAAATTAAAATTATATTGTTTAAAAATTAGCGAATCTATAAAGTTCTTAATTTGATCAATTTATAGCGAAAATAATGAAAATTGATAAGAAGTGGGATTTGTTTGAGCAGTGTAAATGATGGCAAACTAATTTAAAGTATGGAAATATAGAGAAACACTTAAAAGTTATAAGTTTCAAGACTTTTTCTCATTTTCTTGGTGCATGTATGCAGTTACTGTATATTTCCGAATTCATTATGATCTGGTTTTCGGGACATAATTTGGATAACACTGTAGCAAATACATTTGGAGCAGATGATAATAGCAGTATTTATAGAAATGAATACAATGGAAATATGAAATCGTTTATCTGAAGAAACCATAAAATAAGATTAAGGTCCGGTATAGAGATATTTTTTATGGATCTATCTCACACCTTACATTTTAGCAACACCTGCATATGACCTATGTCAATATTTAAAACTGGGGCCAATATCTTGACACTAAAGTTTCGGAACCATTTTACCATTTTTTTTTTCTAATTTCGAGCGAACTGATAGTTTAACTTTTATAATGAAACTTTTATTAAACAGTTTAAGAGAAATCTTTTCTTTGAAATACTTTAACATTGATCGGATCGAAAATTGTTCATATTCTAATGTATTTCAAGTTATCACTCATTTATCACTAAGATTTATCAATTCCATAATGCATGCAACTCATTTCACAGAATTGTTTGTGAGTTCATTTGGGAAAGTTAAAGAATCTTTAATCACAGACAGCTTCCATTAATTTTTCCCTTTCCACTTACCCTTCCCATGATTCAGTGAGATATATGTACATGTACATATCATTAGAGATAGAACGAAAGAAGTAAAAGTTGGAGTTTAAATTTGCACAGAAGGTAATGAGGATAATAAAAGTCTCAATGACCATGTTCTGAGAGTTACATCAAAGCAGTACCGCTCATATTACCCGCATTTATTTGCAGTGGACATCTGGATAAACTTAGAGCTCCTGTATTTTCTTCACATCGCATTCATTCTTTTATATTTAGCAGTCTTTTGAATACGATTAATAAAATTAAAAAAAAAAAAAAATTGTGAATTTATTAAATTCAATTTGAGAAAATATGAAATTTAAATATGCCGAATTGTTTTATGTTACAGCACTACAAAAATAAACTTTGCTTCCGCTCTCTTTTCAACGGTTAAATTTTCAACCATTAACAATTCCGTGTAGAATCAAACTGAATAATAAAGGAAGTGTTTAAAAATGATACGACATTTTTTTGAGATCAACATTTGTCAATTCAATTGTCAAATTTGTCAGTATTACCAAAAAGTTGAAGAGTAGCTTTTAAAACTGTGACTAATTATCTAAACTTTATAAGTATCCTAATTTCAGAAGTAATGGGGATTCTTTTCATACTAGTCACTAGTAACTCATTTGTTTTTATATTTTCGAGTTATTATTTTGCACTCCACTGAGTGTTATTGAGGAATGCTTTTAGTTTTTTGCGCTTACTTATGTGATTTATATAGGAAGTATGCAATAACAATACCTGGCAATATGACCGTAAAAACATATATTGTCATTTCCATTCAATGGAATGACAACCTAAATATTAGCGTGAGTTGCGATAAGGAGAGGCAGTCTACGGATAATTGCGCCATAATAATATCAACAATAGTGTAGGCGCTTGTTGAAAAATATTAGTAGTGTTAATATTATGGTTGGTAAGTGAGATCATTATTGATTTTAAACGTAAGAAATAATTTTTATTTATTAGTTTGTTCGCAATTTATCAAATTTCAGTCCTTCGTTTTCATTACATCTTGTCATTCATTGCATGGGGCAGCAATCTATCTTTCGCAATTGTGCAACTATACAATTTTGCTAAACTTATAACCTGTACTAACAAGAACGGTAACTACCCTTGCACGACAGTCAATTGCTCGACCGGTCGGCGACACCCTTTAACTACCCGATTTTCATCTTCTTCTTCCTCCTTCTTTCTTCATCTCATCTAACATTTCCATCAATGAATCTTTATATCAATTTCATTGGATAAGTCTTCTGAACTCCCTTTTGTTTCTCTATTTCTGTTGCATTTTTCGAATTTCCATTAAAATTACTTGAATTTCTATGAATTCATTTTCTCTATTACAGTTTCTTTATTATTCGTTCTATTTAACTCACATTTTTTCCCCTATACTTACTCCTTTCTTTTCATTTCTCCTCCTCTTCATTTCTCTCTTTCTCTTATCCCTTCTTTCCAAGTATTGTTCCTGATTTTGAAAATATTGACGTTATATGATGAATAGTAGTAAAATGGCATAGTATATCCTTATATTATCTTCTTGAACAATTTCCCTGCACATATACGAGAGCAGATGAATCGATATCTCATTGTGAAAAAGTCGTAAACAAGAATGACCAAAATTAAACAATAAAAAATTATATATGAATAAAGAGAAAATGACAAATGTAGTACTAATTTAATATTCTGGTCTACGTGGAATTCAAACATCGATGAGGAAAGTTTTTTATTGTGGTTTCGTTACGAACGAATTAGATTAAGGTGAAAACTAAAAGTAGTGTAATAAAAATTCATTTGAAGTTACTATCTATTAATGAATTAATTTGTAAATATTTTCGAAAAAAGCGAAATTTAATATGTTGTAACTTCCTTTCATAGCATTAAGAATTATCGCAAATTTTCTAATTTCGAGTGAAAAAAAAATTTGTAGCGAATGAAAACAAAATTTTAAAACATTGACACTCAATGTTATAATTTAACCGAAATGATACTGACATATACATCATTATAAGTTGAAGTTATGAAGTTAAAACTCTTTTTTAACAAGTTAAATAGCAATAGATTCAATGAAGTACTGTAAGTAACTACGGTATTTACAATTGAATCTGTCATTATTTAACTACCACAATACAGTCACCTAATTTTAATAGTTTTTAATAGTGATATTCCAATATTTTAATTAGAACTGCATCTAATTATAATGTGTAAATAATGTAATTGACAACAAAAAGAGCAAACCTGTTAAACCAGTCATATCGGCTACCATACTTCCTGGATACGGATGCGCACCAAAGGGATACTGTTGTGGATAACCGTAAGCCCATGTATGTCCAGTGGCTACAGCTGCTGCATGAGCGGCATGAAAATTAGACCCGTAAAAATCTGCTTGGCACATCGGATTCATCATATCGAAACCTGAAAGAAGAAGGAAAACCTTTTCCGGTATCGGAATAGGTGGATTTATTGTTGCACATAATCCATTGTGAAATTATGTTTATAGTTTATGGTATTAAGCGAATATATTTGCTTTTTTTTTTTTTTGTTAATTCAGCAAGTTTTATCGTGTTTTTCGTGTTTGAGAAATGCAAGCGAAGACATTGTACGTAGTACTGTAATTAATTACCGGAACATATATAGCATTTACTGTTGTAATTTCAAAAATTTCGAAACAGTAATATTAATTCGTAATTTAAAAACAATAATATTAGTTAATCACCGGAATATATATAAAAAAAAATAATTTGCAATGAATTGATTCAGCAAATTTTATCACACTTTTCTCATTTGCAACAATGTTATTAATTAATTAAATGCCGAAATATATATAATATAAATAAGCGATACTAATGTCATTTTTTTATTGCAGTAAGTTAACTTGACAAGTTTTGTCGTACTTCTCTTGTTTGCAAAATGAAATTAATGAAAAGTATTGCAAACTTGCCGGTTGCGGTAGATGGTGAGAGAAAAGCAGCTTTGGCGACAGCATTTGGTGATGGTATCCCTGAGGATCCTAACGATGGCACACATGATGATACTGAAATAGATCTTATAAAATAAATTTCAATTTTTTTTAAAAAATTAAAACATATCTTTTAAAATATAAAAATTTTTGAATTTTTTTATTACCGGAAGCAGAAGAGACAGATGCAACGTTAGCTGCAACAGCAGCAGCTTGCTGAACAACAGCTTGTTGCGCGGAAAGATGTGCAGCTTGAGCGGCAGCGGCAGCCTGATGTGATGACGCCCAGTCATAGCCATACGGATAATGTTGCGAGTGTCCGGCATGGACATGATGATGCGCACCAGGTAAGTTACTCATCACATTCATCACCTGTGATGATGAGGCCGTCGATGAACTGAAATTATTAATGAATAAATATAAGAATACAAGATGGAAAAATGACTCAGTAATATTTTCTGATTCCAAATATTTAAAAATTTTTATCAATTATTTTAAATATTAATGCGACACCTTGTAGCAAGTGCAGGCGGAGTACTGGTCCTATCAGTCTCGTTTGTAGCACTTGATACTGAAATATTTGAGGATGATTCAGCTGTTGCAGCAGCAGCTGTGGTTGCAACCGGAGTTACAGAAGCTGGCGTTGCAACATTAGTAGCAGCAAATTTCTGATAAAACGGTTTGTCCATGAAACTTCCGGAGAAGCCGAACGATGCCGGATTGTTGATACCGTTCATCACAGAAATCATATCATTGGATAATATAAAAAGTTACACTGCATACAAGGAAGTCTTTTTCCTAGAATTTAAAATGAAATGAAAAATCAAATAGAGTGGAAAGAATCGAGTTAACACAAAAGTTAAGCATAATGAAATTGATTGTTTTTATACTGATTAGTCGGTCAAATTTTAAACATTTTATCTCAAAATGATCAAAATTTTCTATTTCCAGGAAATCAATCCTCCTTTATCTAATCAAAAAACCAACAAAATTGTTCTTCCAAAACTCTTTTTTTTCATTTTGCTACTATTAAAATTATAAAAGCTTATCGTATCTTACATTTAGCCTTCAAATTATTTCAAAGTTGACTGAAATTAGTTCATTGCTTAGATTTTTCCTAGCTACTTTTTTATAAGAAATTTTTTCTGCAAAAAATTTTGGAAAGGAATGCAAATATCCTTAAAGTAATTCCTCACCGTACCACAATATTACGTTTATTTTCTTTTCCTTCTCTTTGAGTTTCTATTGCGTTTGAAAAAGTCAATGACAAATTACTGTGACAATGTTGTTGCTCAATCAGCAAATAATATTCGAGAAAAAATCATCATATCAATGCAACAACAGTATAGTTTAGTTTACAGGAAATTATTTCCTGATGGATCAATCAGATAAACTATCACAACTCTTTACCTTTTACTTTTCTTTCCATTTAAAAATTTTTTTAAAAATAAACATTATATTAAATATGTCTTTCAAAAAAGAAATCATTATCCGGGCAAATTCTTGGGTATTATTATAACGGCGAAACTAGTAACTGAAAAAATATCTAATAAACTTTTGTAAACGATTTCGCAGACTGAAAAAGTAAAACATTTTCAAAAATGTTTACCATAGGCTGCGTGCATATTTTCCGGATTGCTAATCGAACTTTTTTTGCTTTTATTAAGTGTAGTGATTCAACTTTTAACTTTCTTCCTCAGAAGTATTTCCCATTACTGTACTTCATTATCATCCTTAGGTTACAACTTGTAATTAATTGGGAATTAAAAAAAAAATTAAAATGGAACTAACTTGTTAAATATTTAAAAATACTAAAATTACTGATATGAATGAAAAGTGTTACTTCAATATTTGAGAAAACCAAATTGTGCGTACGTTTGCCAAACGCTTCTCAAACTTTTAATCAACACCGATTTATGTGTGTACAACAGCATATATGTAGACAGACAGACACACACATGTATCATGCACACACATACACACACACACACATACACTTGCGTATGTACGTACATCAATTTGCATTCATACACACATCGTTTAAATAAATCCGGTTTTCAGCATCAGAACAAATAACGGTAGTTTTTTTTTTTTCTTTTTTGTAAAAGATTGAAATATTTGTTTAAAAAATTGATTAACTATTTTCAAATGATTGAAAAAAAATTTTTTTTTTAGTCTAACTATCGTTTTATGAGAATTCTTATTTGTGACATCTGAATCGAATGACTGATATGACAATACCGTTGCAATGTATTATCGTAATCGATGTCAAATGCATGTTAGACATTTATCATGTTATCTTATAATGAAGATAGGTAATCAGACAAAAATTGATCGATTGGTTGAATTAGATGATAAGCTGGGATAAAAATATAATTTGACATAAGTAGAAATGCTAGCTATGCTGACTAAATGAAATAGATTTTTGTGCTTTGTTTAGTTCACTGCAGAAAAAAATCGTGAAGTGTCCAAGTCTATCATAAAACTGTTTACATATTAAAATTATTTACAATATTCTGATGCATCATTAACATAATTAATGAACATGTTAAATTATCATATAAAATTTATTCTCAAAAATATTAAAAATATGCAAAATTATATGATATTTTTACTATTATATTGACAATTTCATAAAGTTAATGTCATCAAAATTTCATGATTTGTGCAATATATCACTTCTTCCTTTAGTGTCAAGCATTCATGAAATGTAATTATCCAGAATTTTCGAAATTTATCAAGCAAACATTGTTATTTCGTTATAATACAAAAAATTGCTCCTTAAATTACTGATTTTTAAACATTACTCGTGTAGCTTTTATCACTTGTTATTTGCGCGAAATTGCAGTAGGAAATAAAAATTAATAGAGTCATAAATTGATTGATAATTTATTTTAAAATAAATCAAAACCATACATAGCCTTCTTAATGTGAAATTTTCCATTGTTATTATTCAAAGATAAATAAAATTATGATAGTGATATGCTATTTTACGACAAGTATAAATCATGAAAATTATAGAAAAAACGGAAAGTATTCAGGGAAAAGGGAGAGAGTGATAAAGAAGAATAGGGACATAAACATTGTAATAGCCAATATTTTGATTGGAACATAAAGCCAACGATGCTGTTAAGGGCATATAAAATGCTTATACGATAAATCTATCTAAACTAGTTGATACAATTGTTACAGTTACTGCCGTTGCAGCTGGCTTCTATCATAATCTTTGCTGGAAGAAAACTGCTATTTTTCATGCTAACTTCTTCCTAAATTATTGCTTCCTAAATTCTCTTCAAAATTTCAAACTACTAATTGGTAGGTTTTTATTTTATTAATTAACATTTACAGCAATTATTTCGTTTTATGAAACCAGTTTTATGTACTACAGCATCATAATTTTCAAGACTCTTTGAATGATGTTATTTTACTGAATCTTTTAATAATGAGAAAATAATGATTACTACTCTGATCATAGCCATTTATCAATTTCTGGAACATATATATTTAGCTTGCTATCAGTTCAATGATTGATAGTATTGGCAGTATGGCCCAGTTAAAGCTGGTCATAGAATAGTCGTAGTGAAAGTAAATGATGACATCATGGCTTATTTCACGATGATCTTAACATATCTCACTAGTTGATAGCATAAAGATCATATATTTTTAGTTGAATCAAATTTTTTTACTTTTTCTCGAGTTTTCGCGAGAAGGGACAAAAAAATTAAATTTAAAATTGTGCAGTTTTGAAATGAAAAGAAAAAGAATCTTTTGCAAATTTCTCATATATCAAGTATTTTAAATTATTATCTTCTAAATTATTTCTAATGATAATAAATTTAACAATATTTAGACAAATTAGCAAATGATGAACGCACATTAATCATTCAAAATGCTCCAACACAAATGCTTCCATAATAACAACAATAAATCTTAGCGCTTAATCTATCAATTAACAAACGATATTTCAAGGTTTAATTTACTTTTTTCCTTTATTGTTGTTGTTGCTAAAGGGTAAGAATGAAAAGCTTTAGAATTCACTTCTAAATTATCACTTCGAAGTACAATCTTATCTTTTTATCACATCCTTTCTCAAATATAGGCCATTAAAGCATTCACATATCAATCATTTTGACATAGTGAATTATTTACGCACCTCTCTACTGGATGTCTAATTATGACATCTTTATGAATGACACACACATACATACACACACACACACATAATATACAGGTATACATATGCATGCACGCACATGCATATACAAATACAGGCACTTTGCACATGTCTGCATGCATGTGCATGCTAATAAAAAGTTTAGCATGAACATTAGAGAGATGGGTGGTTTGGGTGAATATGTCGACAAACAGCAAAGAAATGACAATGGCGATGTGTGAGGCCTGAAATAGGCGTGGCTTCTTAAGATAACTACAATTGGCTTACCGTTTCCTTCCACCAATCAGACAACGGCAACACCAAATAATTATGGGAAAGTTTTGAGTGATAATTATTGTACTAATCATGATATTATGTAAATAATAATAATAATAATAATAATAATAATAATAATAATAATAATGCTAATACTAGTAATGTCAAATGATAAGTTTTTAAAAAATTGTGATAAGGGATTTTGATACAATACAATAAGTGATATTGTATTACTATAATGTTTATTTGCATCTCATATAAACGAAACATTTGGAGATGAATAAATTTGCAGAAAAAAAAGTAAATGTAATGTTCTGGGATTTTTTTTTCCTTTTTTTTGAATGTAATGCTGTGGTATTCTGGGATGAGTTGAGGAAAAAAAGAAAATAAAAATTATTATGAACTAGTGTGAAGGGTTTATTTTTTTTTAAGTCGGTCCAAATATGCTAATAACATTTGTTGTGTAGTGCTAAATGTACAACATATTAACTCCTTCTTCAGTTTCTGAAAAATTCATTAATCCTATTTAATTCAAAATTTTTTGAGAACTTTCAATTGAACAAGAACTTTCTTTACAGCCTTTTTTCAAACACAAAGCATTGAAATTTTTGTGGATGGGCCGAATTTACGATAATATTAATTTCATTTTTTTTTCTCTTTTTTTTGTTGTAAATTAGTTAACAAAGATTTTAGAATTTTGTACAGAAAAAATGTAACGTTAAATTTAATTATGAATAATATAACTTTCTTTGAATGTAATGTTCTGGGATGAGTTGGAATTTTGCGAAGGGATTTGAAATAAATGCATCTAAACTTTTAATCAGCTACGGAACAGACTGTATGATCCTGCTCGTTCTGATCACTAAAATCATATTCTGATCTATCTTTCCTTTATTCCTTAAACTTAGTAAAAGTATGAATTTGATCATCCTGATGGGAATAAATTAAAGTCACAACCAGAGATTTCTATTTTTTTTTTTTTTTTTCATTTCATTTATAAATATAGCTATTATCGCTAGAAAGCTTTTGATGGCATTGATAAAGTATTAATCAAAAAAAGCAGCTGAAAAGTGCAATCGTTTTTGTTTTCCAAAGTGATGTAAAGAAAACATTGCATAAAATAATTTTTAGAAAAAAAAAAATTCAATCAAAAATTTCAAAATCAATGTGTGCTCTAAAATTTTTATATTTCAAAAATTCCTTTAAGAAATTAGAATTTTGAAAAATTTCATAAAGTTGTTTAAATTTTTTTAAAACGAGAGAAAAAAAAATCATTGCTGCTTTTTCTGTCTGCCGTTTCTTTGATCATGCTAATTCAAA